ATAGGTGCACCAGATACATGTTTTCATACTTTTGATCCCCATTTTAAGTCATCAGAAAACTCCTTCTAGACCTCTAGGACTGCTTGTGTCTTGAGCTGAGGAGCTGCTTGCTTTGCTTTTTATCCCACCAGGCTATCCAGTCAATCCCTACAGAGGACCAGCGAGAAGCGGCCCTGGCACAACTCAATAAGGCAGCATTGGAGCTTTGTATGGAAGAGAAGCCAGCTCAGTCAGATCTCCTCTACCAAATGTGGTAGGTTATCATCACAGAGAAAAGCCTTACAGACACACTCATTTAGGCAGTTGCTCTGGCCAGCTCCAAAAAGAGCTTTCATACTTATTCCATCTAGGGATCAGATAACTATCTCCAGCGGTCTTTTTTTTTTTTTTTAAGTTGAGGTGTAGCAGCTGTCCAAGTGCTAGATGCCATTTTACTCTTGGTAGAAATCAGAGCATTGATCTCTTGCACGTTGGGGAGTGCCAGAGATCCCTGTTCTCCAGGACTGGTTGCTGCCAAAGTCCTGGTTTACATTTATGAGGACCTCCTGAGGCCTGCCTAAAGTCTCCATCCCAGATATCAGTGCCAGCTGAGACTTGTCTGGGCAGCAAGTAGAAACATTCCTGACAAAAGAAGGCAGCAGCTTCCAGATATGTATGAGTCTGATCCACACTGATTCACCAAAGTGGATGCGTCTGGAAGAAGAAGGGATCTAATTTCACAGTAAAACTTGATGTTGTCAGGCCTTGCATTTTAATAACCTGCAGTAGCTCCTGTTTAGTAGCAAAGCGCTCACATTCCTAGGGTTAGGGCAGAACAACACAGGAGGGAAAATAAAACCCCTTGTTACCCTTGTCCATCTATGCCAAGGTGCATACGATTGCTGTCCCTCACATCTTCTGTCCAGGGCTAATCCTGATACCCTTGTTCTCAGTCTTCAGCTGTGGCGCGAAGCAATTGATGGTCTGGTAAGCCACGCTCTGATGCTGAGATCGCTGCTGGGCATGCCCGACAAGGACCCTTATGTAGAAATCGTTCCAGAGGAAACAGGTACCTTAGTGTCTTAGCACAGCAGCCTACAAGGCCTTGCAACAAGAGCTCCTGTGCCTCAGAAGATCATAAATGGATTTCAGTACCATTTAGCATCAAGCAACTTTACTGAGCTTTAACTGATATGACTTTTTGAGCAATTTCCCCTTGTGATAGAACATGTTAGAAAAATGACTGATGCTGTTCTGGTGTCAGAAAGGGATAGGACCTGTTGGCTTAGTGGGACGACAATCCTCATAGGGTTTTGGCATATTTCTCACACCGCTAATAATGTCATGTTACCTTAGAGGCTGGAATAGCATTTGACAGGGACGGTTTAGGGCAGTGGCTCTCAGCCTTTTGGCCCCATGGGCCTGGTCTTCCGGCTGAATTGGACCCCACGCACAAGGATCAGGCCTACATGCCTGGATTGGGCCCTGTGTCTTGGTGGCCCCCATGCACTAGGATAGGGCCCTGGGCCCTATGCCACCCCCACATGCAGGGATGGAGCTCCATGCCACCCCTGTGCACGGGGCACACTGGGATTGGATCCTGCACCATCCTAGCACACAGAGTCACAGCCTGTGGGGTTCTCCGTGGGGTGCCCTGTGGTCCGGGTGACATGGCTCTGGGGGCTGGATCTAGCCCACGGGCCAAGGTTTCAGCACCCCTGATTTAGGAATAATGCATCCTGCATTTGTGCAGAGGGTTAGGCTGCGTGATCCTCGAGGCCCTTTCCAACTCTGCAATTTTACAATGCAATGTCATTATTGATTTTATGTGACATATCTATCACTTGTTCTGTCCTTAAGCCTCAGGGAGCTGGAAAGGGAAAGTACACTGTGGTGCATTGCACTTAGACTGCCGAGACGCCTTGAATATGTGACTTTGTACAGGGTATGGAAGCAGTGCCCTAGCATTATTGGAATTGTTTGCTTTGCAGTGGACTCAAAGCAAATTGTAAAAGGAGGAAAGGAGGAACGGAAAATCTGTCTGAAAGAAGAGAAGAAGACAGCTGGCGGGAAGGAAAAAGGCACAGCAAAGTTAACAGGAAAAGATAAAGAGGTATGTAGCAGAGCGAATCATGGCAATTGAAGAACTAGGTCCTGGAAGACTACACAAGCCATCACAAGGATGTGCGCTGTGAGGTGGTGTACCACCATGTTCAGGGGAAGACCTGATTCCTTCTCTCTGTGAAAGAGCTGCCATTTTTCATATGCAGTCTGCTTTGCCATTTAGGGGTCTGTGATTCCTCCTTTGACTTTTCTTTCTGTGAGCAGGAGAGGCCAAACAGCAGGAAATCAAAAGGGGATAAAAGATTTAAAATGTCCAGTTTTGTACGGGAGGCGAAAGAACTGATCTTACCAGTGGATATTGTTGATTCAGAGCATGCACTACCTCGCCAGGAACAAGTGGACCCCACCGTACTTGAGAAATACCAGGAAAAGCTTTATGTTGGAGTGAGTTTGGCCAGACCCCTTACCTGTTCTCTTTCTCTTTCCATCCCCTTTTTTGGTCATGTCTGTTTAGTTGCTTTCTTTTTGTCCCATCCCCTCTGCTTATAAGCTTCAAATGAAGCTAAATAGAGAAATGACCATTTGGCCAGATGGAAAAGGTTTCTTTGCAGAGTTTCATTGCAAAGGTTGTTGTCTTTGTTTTCTTTTTTAGGTGTACAGCCTACTAGGTTCGATGGTGAGCACCATGGCTTCTCTAATGGAGGAGCTACCAAAAAAAGGATGCCTGGAAGCAGGAGATTGACACATTTGCTTTCTAAAAAAACATTATTGATGTTCTCTTTAAAGGAATAAATGTCCATGTTTATACTGACCTAGTGCAGCTTCCTTTTCTTTCCAAAATGAGAAGGGATTAAAAAGTTTGACTTGGATTCCTTGCTTCTGACATCTTGCCACTGGAGACTTCAGGGGACTTGTTCACAGATTATCTATTTTTTTCCATGAAAGCTCGTTGATTAAGGAGAGGTCAATGCACTGAGGTGTACTGTAGTCTCAGATAGTTGAAACTAAAGGAAAATGATGTGTTTCTACCAAGGGAAGGGAGTTTAAAAGAGCCTTTCAATAAAAGCATGTCACCATCTTTTGTTTCTCATTAGGTCCCTGTCATGTCCCCCTTTTTCCCTTTGCTTGTCTGTGTTTCCCTTTCCATGTTGATCTTAGTATACATACCTCTCTGGCTGTGTCAGTGTATTAGTGTTTCTCTCTGAGCTACGTCTTGTTTGATTTATTCTCAGGACTAATCACATTGCTGTCGAAACAAGTGGAAATGATCCACGAGACTTTAGTCTCTCTTCTGTCCTATCAGCCTTTCTTCCTCCACGTTGGCTTGCTCCTTGCATATATACTGCGGCCTCCTCTGTCTGAACGTCCTGGTGTCTCTCAGGACAGCATCCTTTGGTGGAAACTTATCAGTTCTTAACACCACGCTCCCAGCATTTGGTATTGCCTTGAGGCAAGTTTTCAAAAATGGAAAGAGAGGAGATGCAGTATCTGACTTAACTTGGCACCTCATTTCAGCAAAGTGCATTTTTCCTGCTGAAGCAGCTGGACTCTGCAGCAGAGAGGCTTGGCACTATCAAGAAACTACATCAATATAGATATTAATTTACATTTTCAATGCACTTTGAGTTTCCTTGATGGAATATACTCTATAAATGCAAATAGTGGCTGCTATGTTTTATGTACGCACCTACAATAATACCCCTTACTATCTGAGATGTTTGTCGTGTTTGACTAAATTCCTTTCCTGGCATTTAGACCTATTAACATGGTACCAGACTCAGATTGCCTCCAGCAGCCCTGGGGTCGCTTACTGGATTGCTTTTGTCCGTTTTACCCTGAGATAGGACCTGTGGGTCCATGGGTCAGGTCAGATTGGGATGGCCCAGTGTCACGTGCCTGTTATGAGCTCTGAGTTTGCAGGCAAAGCTTCCACACTGTGTTTCATACAGTTGTGGTGGTGGAGGGATGGATTACCCATAACAGGGGCGAGCAATTATTTCGGGCAGAGGGCCACTTACTGAGTTTTGGCAAGCCATCAAGGGCCGCATGACAGGCAGTCAGGGGCAGATTAATATTAATTTTCTAAATTTTTTAGGGGCCCCACGGGCTGGATAGACTGGCCTGGCGGGCCGCATCTGGCGCACGGGCCGCATTTTGCCCACCCCGACCCATAAGATCATCTCTGCACAGAGGGTACGTCTGTTAAGAAAGATGTCAGGGATATTGGGAGGGGAGAAGAGAACGGAAAGCCTATCACTGATTAAAATAAAAGGCAGAGGCCAGGAGAGAGGAGGTGGCAATGATGACAGCAAGAGACCTGACTTATTTGCTAACGCCATCTGAATCCTCACCCCCTGAGCCAGACGCTGTAGCTCTCCAGGGAAGGGGGGAGTATCCGTCATCCGAATTTAGATGCCGTAAAATCTTAACGCACACGACTGAAAAGCAGCGTGGTGTCACTGAGGCTGCATTTCAGTGGGGCAGAGAAGCCTGCAGCCCCGGATGATGCCGGAGTGCAAGTTAAAAATAAAACTGCGAGTGGCTGAGCCCGCACCGTCTGCAGCATCTTCGTCGCCTCCAAGGGCCCTCTCTGTCCTTTCCCAATGGCAGGCAGAGATGAAAGGGTTAAAGGGAGCCGCTGAGCCTGCCGCTGGTCCCCTCCCGGGCTTTGGAGGGGTTGCCATGGCTGGGATGAAGGGGAGCCTGAGGCTTTGCAAAAAGCCGTGGGCCTGAAGGGGTTAATGAGAGCAGCCAATTCCTCCCGAGTCGTGTCCTGTTCGTGCTGAGACAGACCTGCCCAGCCAGCTGAGCAACTTTCACACCCAGAGCTGGAAGATTTCTGCCTGTCTCAAGGAATTGCGCTCCAGCCTGCTTCCAGCCCCTTCCCCTGGACCCCGCGGGGAGCCGCCCGCCGGGGCTGGAGCCCTGCTTGCGCTGGATGGATTTCGGAGCTCCAGCACCTAAGCCCCGACAGCCCTCTGCGGGGAGCGGAGCTGTCTCCCGTGCAAGGGCGGACTGCTGAGCACCGTCTGCCTCTCGCGCCGCAGAGGGGGAGCTGCTCGCACAGCCACGCAGGGAGGGAGCCAGCGCCAGAGGTAGGAGCCCCTGCCCTCGCCCTGCACCGCTGCGCTGGCACGCCTGGCCACAGCTGCCTGGTCCAGGAGCCGCCCGCGATGCCCGTGGCGGCAGAGGAGGGGGCGAGGCGGGCGGGAGGAAAGTTCTGGAGGCTGGAGCATCTCAGGCTGCGGTGAAGCGCGCTCCGATTCCCGGCACTACTTTGGCAGAGCCGTAGGATCCGTTTCCCGGGCCCTGGCCTGCCTGCAGCGCGCGGCCTGGAGCTTGCTCGGGGATGGCGGAGGTGGGGGACCCCCTGCCCCGCTCCCCGGCGCAGGCAGGTGGGGGTGCAGGGTGCCTGCGCCCCAAGGGATAGGTGCCAAGGGCGCTCCCGGCTCTTTCGACCCAAGCCTGCGCTGTGTTGGCACCCTCCCTGGCGGCCCTCTGGTCATGGGAGCGGTGCTGGCATTGCCATTCAGCGCAGAGGCCCCGGGTGAGCTGGCTTCAGCTCGGGGCGCCTGCCCTGGGAAACGCTGCGCTTTCCCCTCCGGCCATGCCCCGTCCAGGGCAGGAGAACAGCCGGGCATCCCGTCAGGGGCGCAGGCAGGGGACAAAACCGAAGTGGATTATGTAACCCCCACTGCCACGGCAGGTCTGAATGGCGGCGCGGGCAGCCGAGGGGTAAGTGTGCGCTTTGCGTGTGCCCACGTGTCGGTTGGTGAACAGTGTCACTGATTTGAAGGCTTTTGCTAAGAGCCTCTGGGGTTGTCTGGGCTCTCGGGAAATGTCATTGGGGGGGCGGGGGGTCACAGCCGAGCCCCGCGCTGAACCTCCCACCCCCCTTCCTCTCTCTCCCCCGCCTCATCTTTTCATCCCTTTCGAGGGTTGTCAAGTCTGAAGGCAGCCCAAGCCCTTCCCAGCCCCTGGGGCTCGTCCTGGCCCCCGGCGCACAGGGGAAGAGACGGGAAAGCGGGCAGGCAGTGGCCGGGCCTTCCAGGGCCCCGCCGTGCGTTTGTTTGCAAGGTCCGTGGATACGGGGCAGCGAGAGCCTTTGCCAAGTGCTGGCTTCTGGCGGCATGGTCCAGGTCGCCATGCAAATTTGACTGCCGCCTCTTTCGGCTCATGCAGCGCTTTCTCTTGCGGGGAGGGCCCCGTGTCCGACTGAAGTTTAAACAAGTCTTTCTCCATATCCCTTTTCCACCCTTCTCTCCCACCCTCGCTGTGGTGGCCTCTTCCTTCTCCAAGCTCTCCCTCTTTCTCAGCCTCCCTTCCCTGCGCTTTCCTGCCTCTTCCCCTATCATTTTTTTGTCTGTCCTCCTCTCTCTCTTGTTCCAGCCCCTTCTCTTTTGCTTTCCCAGTGCCCTCCTGGCCCCCTGCGGGGAGATCATCGAGGTGCCCTAGGTGGTGGCCACCGGGCCCTTCTGCTCGATGCCGAGTCTCTGCGTGTCCTTCTCCCACCTGACAGCTTTTTGCTCAAGGTCACTGCAGTAATTCCATATGAGGCTGCCTGGTGCTGCTGCCTTATCTACTGTGCGGTTTCTGTTTCACTCCCTTTATATTCCTGGAGATATTGTGTTCAATCAAACTCGCTGCTTTTAACACCGCTGGCAGCCTTCCAGGCCCACGCGCGCTCCCTTCCTCCCCCACACCACTGCCCCCCTGCTTGGCGTTTCTTTTCCCTTCCCCTCGCTCTGTACTTTATAAAAGACCAAAAACTTTCCAGGAAGTTTTGAAAGCAGGTGAAATCCGGCCACAGCCCTGTGTCCGCGCGGGCTGGGGACAATCGGACCTGTCACGTGCCGCCTGCTGCTCCTTGGCGCTGGGGGAGTGTGCGGGCAGGGGGCTTTCTCCCCCGAGCTAGGCAAGAAAGTCCTGAGCAGAGGGAGGATTTAATCCCCGCCAGGCTGCTGTTTGTAGCAGGGACCATGGCACCTTTTCGAAGGTGGAACTTTATCAATGACCTTGTAGCTCTCGGAGAGGAGACTGCTGATCTGAGCCCTGAAGGGTATTGATAAAGCCAAGTCCTTGTTTTAAGCAGCGAGGAATAAATGCTCTAACCCCCCCCAAACCCTCCCCACCCCCCAGCACTGCTGTCCCTGATTGCAGTCATTTTACTGGCATGTAGCTGCACTCAGATCTAAAGCCAGTAAATGGGCTGTATCACGAAAGGAAATCAATACGAGGAAGCTTCTTTAAAGAAACTTCTTTGGCCGTGCAAGCACCGTCTTTCCAGACTTCTCCCCCTCCGACTTCCCACGGTGGTTGGGGAGCGATGTGGCCTTTCCTTCCACAAGAGCCGTGGAGACTGGCCAAGGCCACGAGAAGGGCCAAAGCCACGTCCTGACAAGCGAAGGGCCTGTGCACACTGGAGGTGTCTCCAAGCAATGACGGCACACGACTGGTTTTGCTGGTTTGGATGGTGCGCGGTGGGAGCCACACGTGCTTCATGGGCGTGTTCACGCAAGTGGGTGTTCAGCCCCGATTCAGTCATGAAGAAAATGAGGTTTGCAAGCGGAGGTTATTTCTGAGTCACTTTGGGAGGTGAGGGATGAAACCTGATGTAGCAACCAGAGCATAGGGAGGGCCACCTTTAAGGATGCAAAGCCCGGAAGCTGAACCTGTTGTGTCGTCTGAGGGGGGTGGAGTGCAAACTCACCACCTCTCTGCCTCCAGTGTGGCTCTGGGTCTCCATCGTCGCAAGTCGGGTCTGGATTTCCCCTTTGGGTCGGTATCTCAAACGTGGTGATTTCCCAGGGTATAGCGGCTGGATGGGGAAGCAAAGGACATAAAGATGCAAAGGGGGGAGTTTAGGAAGAGAGGCCTGGTGTGGGCACAAGAGGACCCTGGAGCAGCCTTGGGATTGAATTTTGGACTCCGCTCTTCCTATCACCAGTGCAGATTTGGAAGCTGGTTTCTAACACGCCGGGTCTTTTGTTTGCAACGTCCGTGAGTACGGGGCAGGGGGAGTCTTTGCCACGTGGTGGCTTGTCACAGCGTGATCTGGTTTGCCATACGGATTTTACTGCCGCTGGTGATGGGGAGGAAGGTTTCTTTCTGCTTGGGCAAGCCGTATCTGTGGGATCCTGCAGGACAATTTAGCTGCACTCTGCCCGCCACGGACAGTGTGTGTATGTGATAGCTTATCCTTGTGCAAGAAGTTTTGAAGCAAGATGTTCTTAACTTTCGGCACCCCACCCTGCCTCATAAGAATGGGAGAACTGCCATTTACTGGGTCAGCCCATAGGTCCATCTTGCCCAGTCTCCTGTGTCACACGGGGACAGAGAGCAGATGCTGAAAGGGAGAACGAACAGGATATGACCAGGGTTTTTTCCCCTGTTCCTCTCTCACTTGCAGCCTCCAGCATTTGAAGTCTAGGACAGGCATAGGCAACCGCTGGCATGGGTGCCAGAGCATGGCATGCAAAGGCACTTTGCTTGGCACGTGCACCTCAGGGCAGATGGCAGGGAAGGGGCAGGGGCTGTGCTGCCACAATAAGCAGTGGGCCCCTCGCAGCTCCCCTGCCACCTGCCCCTGGCACGCCAGCATCTTACAAGTCAAGGTTGTGGGTGTTTTTGTCACTGCCCGAAAACATTGCTGACCCCTGGTCTAGGAAGTTTGGAGGCTGTTCCCCCAACTTCCTTTTATTTTTTTAGAGCTACTGATGCCCCTTTCCTCCAAGAATGTGTCCGATCCCTTTTTGAATCTGGTTAAACTGGCAGTGGGAAAAAGAACTTTCTTTTGTCGGTTTTAAACTTACTGACCTCTGCTTTGTAGCAAATGAATTCCCCCCCACCCTGCCCCTGCCCCCAGTAGGGATACTGGCAGCAATATAACAGAGACATTGCATGTTTCTTTAGTGAGCTGGGTGCCTTTGAAAGGTGCTGGGCTGACAGCTCAAGAAACCGGGCCCTTCTGGTTGCCTACCAGATAGGCCCAGTGACAGCCTGAGACTATATGGCTGTTGGATGGAGCCCAGGCAGCAGAAGCAAGTGTGTGCGAGTCTTGGCTCTGCAGTGCCAGCTCTCCGTGCGTCACTTCACCCCTGCGTCTCGGTTCTCCGTCCTGTACCATGCGGATAACCATGCTTCCCTGCCTTGCAGGGGCTTGCTGTGGATTAATTTAGTTAATGTTTGTAAAGGGCTTTGGCAGTGTAATGTGCTGGGTATTACGGCCACAGGGTAAGTAGGAGAGGCTCAGGCAGCCCTGTACCAGAAAGCCCCCACCTCTGCTGCCCCTGGGGAGATGGAGAGGCACTCAGTGGCCAGAGCCTCGTCCATACCTGGGCTAAAGGCACCAAACCTATTTCACAGCCACATGCGAGTGCCAGATCCTCCTGTGCTGTAGAGCAGGGGTTCCCAAACTTTGGTACGCGCACCCCTGGGGGTATGCAAAACGTCTCTAGGGGGTACACAGGTGGAACTGTTGAATGGCAAATCCAATTTTCATTATAATAATAATTGGCATGTAAGGGGTTAAAATATAAAAGGTATGCTGGTAGGGGTATGCGGGCTAGCTGGTACATCTGGAAGGGGGTACACAATAAGAAAAAGTTTGGGAACCTCTGCTGCAGAGGATAAGGGGGCTATGAGATGCATGAGCTTGAGGGGAGGATGGCTTGGCATATCCTAGATGCTCTCTCATGAGGCTTTCCTGCCCTCCCACCCCACCCCCCCACAAAAAAAGGGGGTCAAGCCCTCCAGGAGGCTGGGATGCTTCTCCATCCTTGTGGAACAGAGCTAGAAATTTGGCAATCTTTGTTTCTGGCAGGAAATACCATGAGGATTGACTCCCCTGTGGTATTTCAGGCTCTTCCTGGGATCTGGTTCCAACTTCAAACCAGAGGGAAGGGGAAGTTGGAGCTTGACTCAAACGTTTTCTATAACATTTTTCCTTTCAGGTTTGGGAAGTAGCAGAGTAACAGGGGAGTGTCACCTTTCAAATTGTGTTTAATGGGTCTTGATGATACGTCTTAAAGATGCAGCCAGACAACAACAGGTGTGGTTTGGAAGCGGCACTTGGGCATCTTTTGATCGTTGCAGGTTGCATGTAACATTTGGTGTCTACCTCTTTCTTCCAGCTCAATGTAAAACCTATGGAGCAAGAGCCCCTCCGCCGGTGAAGCTGGCATTGTGACTCTGGTTGGGAGCCCAGCTGTGTATCCCCCCAGCCTTTCCTTTCTTACTGTGAGCTGTGGACTTTCCCCAGGATTCAGCCATGACTACCTCTGCCTTGCGCCGGCAGGTCAAAAACATTGTGCACAATTATTCAGAGGCAGAAATCAAGGTGCGTGAGGCGACCTCCAATGATCCCTGGGGCCCACCCAGCTCCCTGATGTCTGAGATTGCCGACCTGACCTTCAACACCGTGGCTTTCGCCGAGGTCATGGGGATGATCTGGAGACGGCTGAATGATAGCGGCAAGAACTGGCGCCACGTGTACAAAGCGCTGACCCTTCTGGACTACCTCATCAAAACCGGATCGGAGAAGGTGGCCCATCAATGCCGGGAGAACCTCTTTACCATTCAGACTCTAAAAGATTTCCAGTACATAGACCGGGATGGCAAAGACCAGGGCATAAATGTCCGGGAGAAAGTCAAGCAGGTCATGGCTCTGCTGAAGGATGAGGAGAGGCTGAAGCAGGAACGGGCTTATGCCCTGAAAACCAAAGAGCGCATGTCCGTCGAAGGCATGGGCATCAGCAGCAACAGCAGCCACCAGCTCTCCTATGGCCGGCGGACATCCCAGTACGGAGAGGACTATGGGAGGCCCCGGGGGTCTCCGTCATCCTTTAACTGTAAGTACTGCAGTGGTGCGGAGCATAAGCGGGCATTTCCTCTTCTGGTATGGAGGACACGGGTGCTTCTGACCACAGGGTTTGGGGTCTGAGGTTCAGAAGAAATACTGGGGGTCAGCTTTGTATCTCTTGAGACCCCTCCCTGGCCCAGGGCATGACTGTCTTAGGCCAGTGGCTCACATATGTTATGGTTCCCTCATAGCCACATTTCCATTGCTCTGATGATGCATTGAGTATGGTTTCCTGTCTGTTTTAATGCCATCAGATAGGGTTTGCCCTCAGTGCCATCGTCATGTGGAGCTGGTGTAACGTAGGTGGCACTTTGAGGATAACAACTAAGGCTGTGACTCCACCCTGCGAAAGCCACTGTGTTTCCAGGGATCATCAGAGGTCACCTCCAATGACCTGCCTCATATACCTTTATAAAGAGGATGCTTTTCCACCTTTCCGAGGACGTTAGCCCCCAGTACAGCCCTGCCTCCCTCCCATCTGCCTTGTAGGCATAGCTGCCTGCCTCATTGCCGCTACTTGAAGGCCTTTACCATGATGTTTGGTGTCTTGTCGTAATGCAGGGTCTGCACCTGATGCACTGAGTAATAATTATCCCACCTGTATCCTGAGCCCAGACCCCATGCCCTTCTCCTCAAACGGACAGGCCTCGAGCTCCCGCTCTTTAAAGGCAGACTCCTTCTCTGTGTCCTCCACAACATCACTGATGAGACCAGCAGCTTCCCAAGCAGTTTCTCAGCCTCAATAGCCTTTAGCCTGAGCTGGGTGACGTTGGGAGAGGGAGAAGTCCACTGCGGAGGAGGGAG